TTTAAATCTTAAGGCTAGATTGCGGGATTTTCGGTTGCGTCATCGAGGGATGCGAGATTATGCTACTCTCTCCTTCCATCTATATATGGCCTAATGCGTTTTTCAAGGCTAATTTTGACCAAATATTAGAGCAATAATATATGACATGCAACTTACACAAAGCACACGGGGAAATTCGTGTGTGAAAGGAGCTTTCAATGATATAATTTTCACATTATGCATGTCATGTACTATTAATCTTGTCAATAATCAAAGGCGGTCTTAAAAAATGCATTAGGCCCTATATAGATGGAAGGAGGGAGTATTTCGAATCCTCATTCACATGAACAAGAGTCGCTGGTAGAGTCGAGGGTTTTCCCTCCGGGTTCTAGTAATGATAAGGAATGTGTGACTGCTTCTGCAGCCGGTGAGACCTCGTCGGAGTTGGTTTTCGGCGAGGGGCTCGGCCATAGTTTCAAATCTGACATCAAAACAGGGGCGGCGACTCCCTGTCGTTCCTCCCTTGTGTCTCCAGCTTTGCCTGGCCCCACACTCAGTTTACGTGTTGTTGGGAAGAAAGCGGGTAGGGCGAGAGGGTTACGTAAAGTCGAATCCCTAGAAAACATGGAGGGACACTTTGGCCAACTCTGGCTCGTTCCTCCCCCCCCCTCCCCCGCCGTCCACATAGAAACCCTACCCAGCAACCACCAGATCCTCCAAAAACCGGATTCCTTTGCTGGATCTGGAGAGATTTGGTCGAGAACAAGTCCTTTTCGACCGTGGATTGCTTTCCTGCATCCCGTCAACCATTTGACCCGCCTCCAAAGCAAGTCAAGGTGGTTCGCGAGGGGATTGGGCCTGGTTCAATCTCCTTTGCGGAGGCTGTCAAGAGAGGGTTGAAGATGGCCGATCGCCGTGCAGGAGGGAGCAACAATCTTGCTGCTGGCTAGTCAAAAGGGGCAGGCCAGAAATAAACTACGTTCGTTGGGCGGAAGCCAGTTGCGCCTGCAGTTAAAGAACAAGCTCCTGCCCCCAAGCCCACCAAATCTACAGCCTCAACTGCTGGTTCCGCTCAGGTACAATCATCCCAGTCTGTAGAGGTTGAAATGGAACAAGTCCTTGATCCTAGGTATAAGGATACTGCGCGAAGCCGAAGGCCTGTTTTATTTGTCAGCAGAATCACAATGTGAACAACTACGCAGCATTGTCTAAGATTCAACCTACTGGTGCCTTTTTTGGTAGTGGAACTCAAGGCCTTGGTTTTTACCATGTGGATGTCCCTGTTGCTAATGAATCTAAGTGGTTAAATTTCCAGAACTGTGCGGTGGTTAATATCTTAAAAGGAGAAGTGGATTGTGCTAAACTGATGGAACTACTGTCTGCTACCTTTTGCAAAACTAAACACTGGGCTTGGCAAATCAGGGGGCTCTCCAGCAAGACCTTTTTGGTCAGATCCCCCCCCCTCTGGAAGAAAGTGGAAGACCTCATCGAGATGCCTGGATTCTCCCTCCCACAAGATGTGAATGTGACATTAACTGAATGGAAGGGTGGATGTGAACCTTTTGGAGAGTTGATTGAAGCCTGGATACTGATTGAGGGGATTCCCCCAAAGTGGTGCACTTGGAAAGTGTTTGCCCAGATTGCTTCACTATTTGGGGTGCTTACAAATGTGGATTGGAATGGGATGTTTAGAACTTTTTTTGAGAATGTCAGAATCAAAATAGCCTGCAGAGATCCAACCAAGATCCCTTTTGAGAGACTGATTGAGATGAAGAAAAAAGTATTCCTACTTGGCTTCATTGTTGAGGGGTTTGAACAAACTGGGGGTGCTGACTCTGTCATTGATATAGATGAGGATGATGATGGTAATGAGGAGGATGAGGGAGCTGAAGAAGAATAAGTTTAAAAAGATACTGGAACTCAAGGAGAACATGCTTCTGAAGGGTCAGGTGGTGATCTGGCCATTAATGACCTTGACAGAGCAAATTTCTCAGCTAAACATGTGTCCTCAAACAAATATGGTGCTCAAAAGTTGGTGGTTACACCTACAGAATATGAACATGATGCTGATCAGGAGAATTTCATTATGGAATGTGCTTTGGTGGCTGTTGATCTTGATGGTGCCTCTTCTGATGGATACAAACTTAAGTCTGGTTGTGTTGGTAACTTTACAGAACAGAACCAAAAAACTGATGGGGAGGGGAAGGGGGATGAAGGAGTGGTGACCAAGAAACCCCTTCTCCTCTTAGAAAGAAGGTTACACATACAACTCCTAATCAAAGTGCTGGTAGTATGGAATACTGTGAGGGTCTATTAAGATCAGTGGACATATCTGATTCTGATAATGAGGGACCAAAAGAAGAAGAGTTGGGGGTTCTCCCTCATGAGGTTGTACAAATCCTACAAAGTGAGACCTAGAAGAGGTCCCTGCTGGAGTCACTTAACCAAACCCAAAAAGATGAGGCCATTCATGAGAAGAAACCAAGATGGGGCCCTGTGCTAGCTCAAAGGCCTGCTATGGGAGGACATGTCAATATGAACATCATGGAGAAAGCTGATGCATACAAAAGGAAGAAGAACCTGGAAATCCCACAAACTTTTAAAGGTAAATCCTTTTCTACTATGGATAAATCTGTCCTTGCTAATCAAATGAATCAAATGAACTTGACAATGGGGGGGGGTGATATTCAAAAGAGTCTCACCATTGATGAGATGATAGGTGTGGAGAAAGAGAGATGTTTGGTGTTTGCCAATACTAACCCTGAAATAGTCCTTCCTGATAATCTTGATATTGACTCTAGTGAGTTAGTTAGTACACCTGAGGGTGCTCTCCCCCTGGAGCCAGTTGGCACTTCTGATGCTACTAGGGGGACACCTGCTGT